AGGAGGAGGAGGAGGAGGAGGAAGAGGAGGAGGAGGAGGAGGAGGAGGAGGAGGAAGAAAGGGAGTTGTCCAGGAAACAGGTATTATCTTTTCCAAATGTAAGAAATAACCCTGTGGCATTCGGTCATGGTCATGAGGAGGCAGGAAGTGTAGCTGTGGAGGCAAGTGAAAGCTGGTATTGATATTTAAAGTTGAAGACTGCAAAGTGCATGGAAGTGACTTCCTGCTGTTATGTAAGATGGCAACAGTCTGCTGACCCTAGGGGCTTTACAACCATAAATTCATCACTATTGGTAACTATTTCAGCGTTTTCTTCTCCACCCTCCAGGCCTAAAAAAACTAGCAGAACTTCCATGCACTGTACAGAAACTATGGCAATTTGTATGGGGACTCAGGCAGATATGTCATAAATAAGTCAAATTTACTATTTGCCAAATGCAAAATAATCAGGTCTCCAGTAGAAAAGATGTCCTTCTTGTGTGGCCTTCCCAGTTACATGGGAATTTTTTTAATATTTATTTTTTAGTTTTAGGTGGACACAATGTCTTTATTTTACATTTATGTGGTTCTGAGGATCAAACCCAGTGGCTCATGCATACTAGGTGAGTACTCTATCACTGACCCAAAACCCCAACCCCAGGAATCTTTTTTTTTTAACATGGAAATCTTTAGGCATAATCCTACACATAACTGAGAAAAAGCAGATGTAGCTGCTATGGGTTAATGCCTCAGCAATCCTTAGCAGCTCCATCTGGGACATTTCTGAATCAGAGCTCCAGAAGCATCTGACTGAGCAATGGATGCCTACTATATGATTAGGATTAGGGGGCTGGAGATGTAGCTCAGTTGGTAGAGTGCTTGACTCACATACGCAAGGCCCTGGTTTAAATCCCCACCATCACACACACACACAAAAAAAAAAAAAAAAACAAAAAAACAGGTTAAGATTAGCAAGAAGCAAGAGATCATTCTATATACAGCCTGTATTTTATTGGGGCTAAAGCTGTACCTTTTACAAGCAGATACAAAGAGGTTGGGCATCTTAGAAACTGGGATAAAGAAAATACCTCAGTTAACACATCTTAGTCAGATTTTCAAGTCTACAACTTATTATGTAGGTAATCTTGAATGATTTCCTTAACTTTTCTGAGTCTCCAACCAAGTAATTCTTTGATATAGATATTATATATTATGCCCATTGCAGATTAGAAAAGGAAATCTCTTATACTTGTTGTAGATTAGAAAAGGAAACCTCAGAGAGGTTAAGCAATTAGCCCATAGTAAGTAGCAAAGGGATAAATCAAGCAGAGATCTGTCTGTCAGACTTATCTGCCCATGCACAGAACAATTTCACCCTATTACCTCAGTGATCTTGGAACCTGCAACCCAGACTCCACTTCTGGGTACATATCGAGGGACAACTCCAAACATAGCTCCAGATAAAGCTCCATGTACATTACTAGTCCCAATTCTAGGCAGAGTTCTGGAAACATGACTTCTCTGTGGAAGAAAGAGAAAAACTTGGGGGTTGGTATGCTGGTACATAAACAGTGTACTGTAACTTCTAAAACTTCATAACTTTGTGTATGTGTGAAGAGAAGTAAATATCATATATTAGCCAACATCATGTGCTGGGCTATAGGTAAGCATGTCACATTTAGTCATTCAATACTCACAACAGTTCTGTAGAGTAGAATTAGTTGAGAAGCAGAGGTAAATTCCTCCCTCCTTTTGCAGGGAATGGGCAGAGTAGGAGTAGGGAATGGAAAAATAATAGGCCCATTAGGCACTAATTCCCAAGTCCACGATTACCTGCAGAGATCTGCCTCTCTGGGATTCCAAAGAGGGGTGCATTTTGCCTGTTGATCTTTCAATCTCAGGATCCAACATAAAGATGCTATCATGGGATAGGGCTTTGTTCCCCATGTTGCTCTTGATCCTGAACAGAAAGGAAAGGTCTTGTAAAGCAAGCAATGGGCCACAGGAACAGAAGACAAATGTATACTCACAATATGGCCTATCATAGATACCTCAGAAAGAGTGTTGAGGATGCATACATGGTGACACAGAAAGCTCTTTTTAAGGTATTAAGTGAAAAAAATAAAGAATATAATTCTTTATGTATTTAATAAAAATACACATATATTGCATACATATATAGTTTATGTTCAAAGAAAAAAGTCTGGGAGGACATTTCCTCTGAGGAATGGTACTAGGGACAGGAGGGGAATTGTCATTTTCTATTTTATGTACTTTTATATAATTTTAATTTTAAAAATTATAAACATGTCATATATATGATACTTTTATTGAGGTATGTATTACATATTGCACAATTCGCCCATCTAAAGTACACAATATAATAGTGACAATTATAGGGACTGAAAAGGTTATTAAAGATCTTTCACACCCAATTGCTCTCTAGTGTTTTTGTTTTGATTTTTTTTTCAATAGCAAAAATCTTCCCAGATGTAAGAGGTTTTCATTTATCATTTTTTCCTCTTTCACACAAGGGTTCTGTGACACATCTGTCCTATTTTCAAACTCATCTTATGTACCATCCATTCCTTCCCTCTCCAGTTTGCTTCCCCCAATTGGAAATACATTCTGATTAGGAATGGAGCCAGGTCAACCACAATTATGTGTTAGGAGAAATCAAGGAAAATCTAGAAACAAATGAAATCTAAATGCCTAAAAGACTCCTTTTGGATTGTGATAATAATTTATTTTACCTTTAAAATTTATCCAAAGGTATCACAAAAAGAGAAAACTACAGACCAAAATATCTAATGAATAGATATCTAAAAATACTCAATAAAATTTCAGCAAATTAAATCCAGTAATATGTAAAAATAGTTACATGCCATGACAAAGTAGGATTTGGGTTTTTTTTAATATTTTTTATTTTATTTTTTTTAGTTTTTGGTGGACACAACATCTTTGTTTGTATGTGGTGCTGAGGATCGAACCCCGGGCTGCACGCATGCCAGACGAGCGTGCTACCACTTGAGCCACATCCCCAGCCCCCACAAAGTAGGATTTGTGAGGAATGCAAAGTTTATTTGACCTGAAATATAATGCATGTGATACACTACATAAATAGAATGAAAACAAGAACCACATGATTGTTTCAATAGATGTAGAAAAAACATTGTAAAATCTGACACCCTTTTCTGATAAGCGCATGCCAACTTGATAGAAGACATTTATGACAAAACCACAGCAAATATCATACTTGGTAGTGAAAGACTAGATGCTTTTTCCCTAAGATCAAGAACAGCACAAGGGTAACTGCCTTTGCTACATCAACAGTGTATTGGAATTCATGGCCAGGGATATTAAATAAGAAAATGAAATTTTAAAAAACATTCAGAATATAAAGGAAGAGTGAAATTATCTCTATTCACAGATGATGCAATTTTGTAAATAAAAACTCTTAAGGAATTCACTAAAAACTACTAGAACTAATAAATTAATTTAGCAATGGTGCAGGATATAAAATCAGTATACAAAGTTGTATTCTATGTATTGGCAATGAACAATCTGAAAATAAAATTAAGAAAATATTTCCACTTATATCAGCATCATAAAGAATAAAACACTTAGGAATAAATTTAACAAAAGACATACAAAATGTACCCTGAAAACTATAAAGCATTATTGAAATAACTTAAAGAAAGCCTAAATAAATGGAAGGACATCCCATGTTCATGGATTGGAAGGTTTAATCTTGTCAAGACAGCAATACTCCACAAATTGATTGACAAATTCAATGAAATCCCTTTTGGAATTTCAGGTGAAAGGTGGTATAGCACTGGCATAAAGATAGACATTTAGATCAATGGAATAGAGAGTCCAGACATAAACCCATAATCTATATTTATTTGGTTTGCAACAAGGATTCCAAGACCATTCAATGGGAAAAGAACAGTCTTTTCAACAAATTGTTCTGGTGCAACCTGATATCCACATGCAAAAAAAAAAAAAATGAAGTTGCACTCTATCTCATACTATATATAAGAATGAATTCAGGCTGGGAATGTTTCTGAGTGGTAGAGCACTTGCCTAGTATGCATGAGGCCCTGGGTTCAATCCCCAGCAACACACACACACAAACACACACACACACACACACACACACACACACACACCTCAAAATGGGCCAATGATCTAAATATAATAGCTAGAACTATAAAACTCTTAGAGGAAAACCTAACAGTAAATCTTCATGATCTTGAATTTCACAATGCATTCTTAGACATGACACCAAAGCTCAAGGAACAACAACAAAAAATAGATAACTATATTTCATCAAAATTAAAAACAGTGTTGGGGTTGTGACTCAGTGGCAGAATGCATGCCTTGCACATGTGAGGCACGGGGGTTTGATCCTCAGCACCACATACAAAATAAATAAAAATAAAGATATTTTTAAAAATTAAAAACATTTGTGTTTCAAACGTTACTAGCAAAGAGCTACTTTGGATGGATAGTAGAATGAATCAGATATTATTACCCTATGTGCATATATGACTACACAGTTGGTATGACTCTACATCATGTACAACCAGAAGAATGAGAAGTTGTACTCCATTTATGTATGATGTGTCAAAGTATATTCTAGTGTCATGTATAAATATTTAGAACAAATTAAAAATGAAAATAAAAAGACAACCTACATAATGGAAAATATAATTGCAAACTATATATCTGATAAGGGATTTGCATCCAGAATATATAACAAACTCTTACTAATAAGAACTCTTACCAATAAGGACATTTATTATTGAATTCATAAGTAATTCAATAATAAAAATATAAATAACCAATTTAAATGAAAAATATCTAAATAGGCATTTTTCAAAAAAAAAACACACAAATTGGCTAACACACATGAAAAGATCCTCAACCACATTAATAAGCAAGGAAATTCAAATCAAAACCATAATGAGATACTATTTTAAAATGTCTAGAATAGATAAACTCAAAGCTTCAGATAATTATTAATGGCAGGGTCATGGAGAATTTTGAACCCCCATATATTGCTAATGAGAGTATAAAATGGTACAGCCACTTTGGAAAACAGTCTGGTGGTCTCTCAAAAAGTTAAGCATATAACTATCATTTGTCCCAGGAGTTCCACTCATAGTATATACCCAAGAGAAATAAAAACATATATCTACCCCAAAACTTGAATATAAATATTTATAACAACATTATTCATAATAGCCAAAGGGTGGAAACAACCCAAATATCCATCAACTGATAAATAGATAAAATATGATATATTCATGGAATGGTATACTATTTGGTAGGAAAAGGAATGAGGTTCAGAGGCATGCCAAAACATGGATGAATCTTGAAAACATTAAAAGAGTGAAAGAAGCCAGTCAAAACAGGTCAGGTATTGTATCATACCCTTTATGAGAAATGTCCACAATAGGCAAATCCATTGAAACAGAAAGCAGACTAGTAGTTGGTAAGAGGAGGTGGGCATGAAGAATTATTGCTAGTGGGTACAGGGTTTCTTTGGGGAGTGATAAAATGTTCTAAACTTGGGGAATCATAATGGCTACACATGTAAAAGGTAGGATTTATAGCATGTGAATTCTATTTCAATAAAAATACAAAATTATTGAAGCTATTCCTATTAGGTGGGGAAGATGCATATATGCATAGCAAAGATGACATTAAGCATGAAAGGAAGGCAGGGGGGCTGAGGATGTGGCTCAAGCCGTAGCGCGCTCGCCTGGCATGTGTGCGGCCCGGGTTCGATCCTCAGCACCACATACCAACAAAGATGTTGTGTCCG